TAGGAGCTTCACTGATATACTAGAGGCCAAGGGCTGTATTATTCAGTTTAAGATTGAAGCAAAAAACAAATATAACTTCATTGGAATGAGTTAAAAACAAGCTTCAGGGCTGTGAAATAGGAGCTTCATTCCCAGGAACAGCTAACAGACCCCAGAATTGCAGAATGAAGGATTTCATCAAGAGCATTAAAAAGAAGAGAGGGTCACTGACACCTGTGGGGTGCAGAGTTTAGAAGCGATCAGGTAGATTACAATGAGCCATGAGATGTTCTGGTTGCTTGCCACAGCTTTTATTTCTAAGGGCATCACTGCTCTGATCAGCCACGTGAGACCGAGACAGCGTTCTGGTCGAGTGGAGCAGCGATTCCCTTTTGAAGTAAAAGCCACAGCAAGGAAAGCTCTTCCTTAATTTGTTAACCCACTGCCACCCCTAAATGAAAAATCCAGGATCCACTGTATAATTTAGCTTCCCTCCCCCAACCTGCACCCTACCTGGACCTTTGATGGAGATGGGCGGTGGCATCCTGAAGAGTCTTGCTTCTTTTCTGCAGGGTTCTGCCATGTGTCTAGAGGTTTGTCCCTCTTCTTGATACAGACTCATAGGAGTATCTGTGCCTTTGAGCTCCTATCTGCATATGAGTCAAGAATCAGATTTGCTGAACCTCTTTAAATCACAGTGTTCAGTGGATATGGGCTACCTCAGTGTAAAACCACTTGGGGTGGAAAATGTGAACAGAAACAAGCCCAGGCAAGACTTGGTTTTTAAGCCCAGTTAGGAGATCCAGTACAGGCTTTTAAACTTGATTCTAGACTATAATCCCCATACACATGGGCGAGACCGGTGGTTCTCAACCTTTTCAGAGATTTCGCCCTCCTCCACTTCTTGAAATGTGGCCGGTTGAGAACCACTGTTAGGCTGCCTCAGCTTACCTGGGTGCGTCTTAATCAGCTGCTGCTACCGCCTCCCAGTAAGACTGCCCTGCACGCCTGTGCACAGCCAGCCCAGGAAGGGCTGGGGCATGTGCACAGACCAGTGGTCTCCAACCTTTTTAAGTAGGAGATCACCCATTGGCAATGTGTAGGGGGTGCTTGCAGGTGCACGTGCACCCCTGGAGCATGGCAGTGCACCCCCTGTAAAAAGGCACCGCTGACATTGCCAGTGGCGCCTGCGGGCAACCCGCAATTGCTGCTGGCCGACTGCCGGTGGTGTCCGCAGGTGGTCGCTGACAATTGGTTGGAGCTCGCACCCCACCACCCTCCCACCTAGCTGCTGACAGTGCTACGGCTGCCTGCGGCAGCTCCCCACTTGCCTCCGCCACGTTTCTGCCGCCAGCAGTGTTGCCGCCGCCTGCGGGAGCTCACTGTGCCCCCCCAGCCTTTGGGGGCACACGTTGTTCATGTGATCACCTTTGACATTTAAAAGCAAGCCAAGATCTACTGTGTGCCACTGTCAACGTGCCCCCCCACACCCACAGCAGGTAAGCCTGTGGGGAGGGAAGGGGGACAGATCGAGGCAGAGGGAGAAAAAATTATTTGGGGCACACCTCCGCAGCAGGTAAGTCCCACCCGGCCGGGGCCCCATTCAACTTACCCCTGCTTCTGCCTCTGTCCGTCACTGTGGGGGCCACGATCTAGCCCCCACCCCTTCACTTCCCCACAGACTGACCTGCTGGGCTGGGGCACGCGGGCACTCAGCCCCCCACCCCAGCCTCGGATCGACTCCAAGAGGCTCCGACTTCAACTGGTGGATCGAGAGCCACTGGTTGGTGACCCCTGCTCTAGCCCTTCCTGGTCTGCCTGCCCCTTGCTCCTCCTGGAAACAGGCAGGGGTGAAGCATGAAGGGGGCCAGACCAGGAGGAGCTACAGCCCAAGCCAGCTCTGTCTGTTTTATCAGAGAGGCCTAATGTTACTCGGCTGCCTAAATTGTAGCACCCTAGATACGAAGCACTGGGCTAGTTAAAAAATGTTTAAAGCATGTTAGATAAGACTTGCTTTAAACCAGTTCAGCTAATGTAGTTTGAGTCCTGCTGAGCTTATGTTGGTAATTAAAACATTGCGTAAAGGCTAGGCCCTACTGTAATCTCATTTACTCTAGTGAAGTAAGTGGAGTTTTGCTAAATTTACATCAGTAGACCAGAAGCAGAATTTGCCCTCCGGTTGGTAGCTTTTTATCTACAAGTTTTGTAATTCAATTCAAGAAGTGTCTTGTCCGAAAACTCAGAACCCCTCTCTATGCTGAAATCTTGAGAGGGGAAGTCATGAAGACTGAATTGTAGTATCCACTATCTTAGGTTTATTTTTACACGGAAAAAATTCAGACCCTTACCTTTTTGTCAGTGGAGCTGCAGTGCTGGATACTGCATTACTATAATTAGGCTTCAGGCAGTTTTACCAAGGTGTCAGTTCAGACCGTTCATAAGCATTAATACTCGCTGTCGCTTTCTCTCTCCGTCTCGCAAAAGAATTTGCTGCTCTCCGTATTAAAAAGGGTTTTGGTAATATGTTTTAGAAATAAAAAAAGTCAGCATTAGGAGACCCAAAGACCCTAAATTTGACCATAATTTTTAGCTTGTCTTATGCTAAGAATAATATCATATATATTTAATTCACGGTTCAGTTGCAGCAACTTTCTCTCCATTCCTCCATCCAAATGTAATTCTTTCTGGACTGTAGCAGAAGGAAAATTGTCTTCTTTTTTGAAATATGTGTAGCTTTTATATAAATCGAGTCATAGAAGGGGGAAAGGTCACTCTGCAAGGCCTAAGTTCTGCTCCAGTACATTCAGTAAATCAGGGTGAATAGGTATATTTATACTGGTGTAAAGTTGGAATAACTAAGAGCAGAACGTGTCTCTAATGTTTATTCTAGTGTAATAACTCGGATACTGTACAAAATAAAGATGTAGCAGGAATCATTAGCTCAGCCTCTGCCTGTGAGTTTTTTTCCCGCCGCATCCTGCCCTTCCTCCTGCCCCCCTTTGTGTGTTTCTTAATATTCAGTTTAACATATGGGAGTGGTTTTCACTTCATTAGTGATTCTTATAGGCTGAAGTGCCTTGTGGGTTGGGTCTCACTTCATTTTGCCTTTAGGGAGCTAGCCTGAATACTTGAACTGAAGCACTTAGGAAGACAGCTTTTCTTGCCTGCAGATTTCCTCTGTGGTTATTTTTCTCATAGTAACACAGTCCTGGATAATCACTTCATAGGAGAGGAGATTTTTCATTTAAACGGCACCATGAGGCACCTACGTGCACAGGGGCATAAGGTTAGTAAAGAAAGACTGGAAGTTTTCCACTTCTTGCCATACGTCATTTTGTTTTTCTGTGTTTTCTAAGCTAACATGGAGCAGCTGATTAAAAAACAACTGTTCTAAGATGATTGTGTTCTGTCTGGTTGGGGAGAGGCAGTTAATTTTAAGCCCTTTGCAGAAAAGAAAAAGGGAACTTAAGCATCTGGCATTGCTTTTCAAAGGAATGTGTTGCTTGAACGTTGTATTTTGTGGCTGTTTGGAGGCTGGAAGCCAAGTTCATTGCTCCTGCAAAGGTACTACATTTACTTGTAAGACTCACAGCCCATTCTCAAAATGACTTCGTAGTCTTTAGGTATCCAGGTTGTAGCCGTATTGGCCTAGAGGAAAAAGCAGTCGGGGCTCATAGTAGAGACGATATCTTTTCTTAGACCAACAAGATTTTTGCAAAAAAAAAAAATAAATTCTTTAATTGCAAGCTTTGGTCACATTTGTCTTGTTCCTGAAAGCTTGCAATTAAAGTTTGTTTGTTTTTTTGCAAAAATCTTGTTGGCCTAATAAAAGATACCATCTCTACTGTGGGCCCTGATTGTTTTGTAATCTTTAACACTTCAAATACCTTGCAGAGCACACCAAAAAGAAATGCTTACCCTGGCTACTTAGCATTTTGGATATCTGAAAATTTGTAAACTCTTGGTAGTTTCTCACTAGTCTGTTGTGAATGTCAGTCTCTTCTGCCTGTTTTCTGTGCACTGAAGGATGTGTGCGCTGCACTGTGGCTGGTGTACTGTACAGCCAGGAGCAGTGACAGAGTCAGGGGAGCCTCAGTCTTTTGACAGCTGCCACCTCGGAGCATTGGGTCAATTGGGAATTCTCCGCGTGCCTTTGAAAAACCAGTTCTGCTGGAGGAAGAACAGTATGATTACTCAGAATTAGAGGTTTCTTGACCTGGTTGTGCTGCTTTCCTTTTGCTCACTGTGAGCTTAAAGCACTTTCTTCTCCAAATTGAAGTCTGATCTTTGAAGGCATTGAATGCTAAATTATGAGGCATAAATACTGGTCAAATTCAGACCTGATACAAGCTAATTCACTTCCACTGAGTTTAAGGGAGTTGCACCTTTTTCTCTGCAGGCTGTTGTTTTTTTTGGCTTGCTGTACATGTATTATGCATTAGCATCTACAGTGTTTTAACTGTGCCTGTACAATCCCGCTGAAGCAATTAGGGTGAAATGGATACAACGGTGGGGAGAGTTATGTCCTTTCTATGGCAGTCTAATCTAGTAGAACAGATAGCCCTGCCCCCTCCCTATTAAGCTAACCCAGATGTTAGTTTTGAGGAATACAAATAACAGTGGAGCCTATTAGCATCAGCCAAATCCATTTGCCAGTGATGTTCATTTTTAATGAGCTACTTTAGAAGAGGGAAAGCACTTATCCTCCAAGGTTTGGAAACTTGATGGGATGAGATTTTCAGAGCTGCCTAAGGAAGTTAGGTATCCAGCCTCCATGAAGTTTTTCTTCCCAGAAAAGCTAACCCTGGCAATTAGTGCAGAGGTCTGAACATGCAAGTTAGCCAAGGCCACCTGCAAGCATTCCTCCAGCCAAGTCCTTCCTGCACAGCTGAGGTTTCCTATTTCTGTACTGGTCTGTCTGGGGACAAATCCCAGAGTTCACTGCTCTAGGCATCCTTCCCCCTAGCAGTTGCTTCACTTGTCTGTTCTTTGGGGTGCGTGTGGGGAAAGGGTATAAAGGGTATTGGTGGACTGTTAGCACTTCAGTGATTTTGTTTGTAGTAGTGTAGCAAAGTAGGTAGCTTCCAGCTCATGCTAAAGCAGAAACCTCTGTAACCCACACCTCTGACTGGAAAGGCAAGCTCAGACTCAAAACAGTTCAAGATTTGAATCACAGGTTTTCTAATGTGGACAGTAATAGGGGGGTTGGAAGAAAAACCCTGTAAGAGGCTTAACTGTGTAGTGAGGACATACCCTAGGAGTCCAGGATAGAGGTACATTTCGCCAGAAAAGACTTGATTCCAAACCTACTGAATCTAGCAATAGCTAGACATTAATATAAGTAAAACTTAAGGAAGAACAGCATTTTTTTTAATGGGGAAGGGCTCTTTAAGTTCTTCTCGTGCCATTTAAAAATTAGGTGTTATTCCTTTAAGAATCTGACATCTGATTTAAACAAGATCCATATTTTAAAAGCCCATGTTTCAGGACCATTGGAAATCTGTAATGTGTCTTTGCTAATGTTGCTAGAAAAAATGTAGCTTTACAGTGCCACAAGCTCCAGAAATGAGCTTCTTCCGTTCAAGTTACCACCTGTGCTGTGAGAAGTTGAGTTAAATCTGCTGCATCCTTAGAGATGGAGCCAGCAATTTGTTGTGATCACAATTTTGATCTTTTAAGATTTGCTAAAAATGTTTCTGTCTATAAAATGATGTTGTAGCAACTCTGTTACTCATTTCTCATGAAACGATTCATTCTTACGTGTAGCAGAATAGATCATATGACAAAACTGTAAAATGTTGTTAGCTCTCAGTTAAAAAAAATCAAAGGACCATATACATCATTGATTTTATGAAGGTTTTGATTCTTTGAGTGTGTTCACATTATGGAAAATAACCCAGTGTATCACAGTAGCTTTGCTTGCTCCAACCAGTGTTATTATACATAATTTCACAGGCAAACTGTGCAACCAGTTACAGTTTTGCATCTTCTTTGCTGTAAGCTGAGGACACATTTTTTTCTTCCTACAAATGTTGGTCTGATTGCTGGTTGGCATGAATTTAGTTAGCAGTCTTGGTAGAAACTTGGAAGCACAAATTAGCAAGGTGCTGGTATTGCCACAGATTTTTTTATCTTGGATTTTATTTAAAGCAGTTTTTAATACTCATGCAAGTTTCTTCAGTGCATCTTCCCTAAAAGAATAGTTGAGTTGGATTCTAGAAGATACCTCTTTCCAAATGAATCCCCAAAACATTGACACAGGCTTGACCCGTTATATTGTTAAAGTTTTCTTATGTTACTCTTCAACTGCCAACCAGCTGTGGTTTTTACATCAGAACGGCTGTTCCTGTAGAAGATTGCACCTTTTTTTGCATAGCCTGAGAACAGGACTAAATGTAAATATGTTGGTCCTAAATTGAGAGGCTTCTGGCTACTAAACAGAACAGTTTGTTTGCTTGATTTCCTCTGGGTGTATGTTTCCTGTACTGTTTAATTTTTGCATCTGACTGGTAATAATTCCTTATAGCTCCTCTTTATTGCTTCAGTCTAAGAATGGTTCATATTTTTTTTCCTTTAAACTGAATAATATTCCCTCCTTTTTCATGTCGCTCTCTCGCAAAGTGGAAACTCCCTGCAAATGACTCAGTCCTTGGGCATCAGCAGCCTTCTCATTTGTGGTCTAGAGATGTTCAGTTTGGTTAGGTTTTTACGAGGCCTTATTGATCAAGTTTTATTTCTGTCAGACTGAAAGCAGCTTCAGACCTGCTTTGGTTTTTACTTGTTGCGTCTTTTTACTGCTGTTCTGAACTTTGGTTTCATTAATATAAGCAGATGCCACCATATGGCAATACATGAAAGCAATGTCACAACGTCAGTCTACTAAGGAGCTGCTACTGGGCTAAGATGGTTTTGTGAGTGGCAGGGAAGGCAGTATACAGAATTGCGAAAGGGAAGGAAGATGATCTCTCCAAGGAACTCAGAGAGAGGTCCTTCTTTTAGGCCCTAGTCTCATTTTTTCTCAACTTTCCCTTTCCCACTTAAATAGAGCCTTGGCCTAGGTGGTCCTAGCCTCCTCCCAAGACCTTGGGGGTATACTGCATTTGTAGCTAGACCCCTTAGCTTGTCCTGCAGGGAATGGGGGGGAAACCCAATGGTGCAATTGAGTTCAAACCCTGTGAGAGACTCTGTCATTTCTGTCTGCCCTTCTTGAACATTTTCCTACAGGAAGGCTTAATTGGTTCACTGTTTTCATTTTGACAAACGTACGTCAACATGAGCAAGGCTTTGCCCAAGAAAAAACTGAGTAGGTTTGGGCTGGTAGTTATTATTCCTAAGGATGCTATACTCTGCGGGGGACAGAAGGCGGCACATTTTGGCCCCACAAAGCATGTGCAGTCAAAGAAGGTTTTGAGTAATGCTACTGCTTCTCCTCTTCATTTGTCTAGAGCAGTCTCCGAGCCTCTTTCTTGTTTTCAGTCATGCTCTCGGCTGTCGCTGCACCGAGTAGGGAAGCAGCCAGCGAGGGGAATGGTAAGTGGGAGGAAGAGGCGGTGGCAAACACATTTCTCTCCTCCTTCCCTCTGCTTTGTCTCTTCTTTGCTGAAGGTGGTGAAGCAACACCACCCATGAGTAATATATAAATAAATTTTGATTTTGTATTACCAAGCAAATCTCTGCACAGTGACAGGCGTCTGTCCAAGGTGTTAGTGTTGTCAGGTATTGCCCCAGCAGCTTAAAAATGATAGGTTAAGCTTGTAAAACTCACTGATTAACCTAATGATCATGAGAGTTAATAAGAAAGGGCTTGGGGAAGGTTGAACTGTTCTTGTCTCTCTCCTGTTATTTGAATGTTTAGGTGTGTTCAAGCTTTGCCCTGCCGCTAGAAACACTTTATGGAGAAGGAGCCTTGCCTTATCACATGGCTCCAGGAGCTGGGGGTTTAAAATAACACCATCAGTTACATGACTTTTATATAAAATCATAAGATCTGGCAACGTTAGAGCTGAACGCAGTATCAGGTTGTTTTCCAAGATGTTCCATGTGGCCTCGGTATCGTGTAAGTCAGATCTGGCATGGACATTTCACACATCCCTCGTACATGCTGTCTACATTTTGTCATGGCATTAGGTGTTTTCTCCATCATTAAAGTAGATAAACAGTATAAACTGAGGATTATATAATAGAAGCCCAAACTTGTTTTTCATTTGTCAGACAACTCGCCCACTCTCGTGTTATTCAGAAGTGCTCTAATCTCTGAGGAAACCATCTGTCTAAATAGGAGTGGAA